CCTTGCACGTCCAGCCATCTGCCGCACCAGCCCCGCCGCCCGCAGCCTCCCGCTCCATGTTCGTGGCCCTCCTGGGGCTGGGGCTGGGCCAGGTCGTCTGCAGCGTGGCTCTGTTCTTGTACTTCCGAGCGCAGGTGAGTGTCCGCCTCCCCGTGCGCGCCGTCGGGCGTCCCCACCCTGGTCCTCTCGCACTGCTGGGAAACTGAGGCTGGACGCGGGACCCGAACCCACAGGTTTTGACTATTCAGGAGGGGAAAGTGACGAGAGAGAGAGAGAGAGAGAGAGAGAGAGAGAGAGAGAGAGAGAGAGAGAGACCCTGGGTCTGCCTGCCGCAGACCTTTGGCCCACTGAGGCTGGGCTCCTCTGGCAAAGGGTTTGAATTTTGAATGTGCCCCGGGAAAGAGCGTTGGTTGCTCACCTCTCCTGCAAGTAATCACACAAATCACACATTTTCTTCTCACCGGGAGTTAACCAACTTAAGTTCACTTGGAGGGAGGGATGAGCGCCTTCACATGGGCACCGACCCTTTCCCTTCCCGCCAACCACGCAATGGCTTTGGGCTCCTGGGACTGGTGCCTTCGCAGGCGCTCCAGGCCACAGTGCCGGGGCGACGCGCGGTGCTCTCAGTCCTTGGAGCTCCGGGGGCGATGCCCAGGTCACCTGATGGGTAGAGTGATGGGCAGATTGGCAGCGCTGCCGGAGTCGCCTGGTCTCAGACACAGCTGCAGGGGTGAAGGAAGAGGGACGGGCCCACGTGCCTGCCAGAGAGGTGGGCGGAGGAAGGAAGCCAGGTGTGGGCGACCACACAGCCTGGCTTTCCGGATCCCCAGCCTTTGAAAAGGTGAAGAGGCTTCTAGGGGAGGCTCAGAACTGCAGGGAGATAGTAGAAAGGAAGGGGTAAATGTGTCATATTATGCTTTCTGGTGGTTTATGATCTGTGTTTTCTTGGAAATTGCAGTGCAGTTGGTTGGATTCATTCAAATATCCTTGTCTGGTGCAGTGAACTCTTTCTCAGAGGAAGTGGGGGGCTGACTGTGCAGTTTTTTTTTATGGGAAAATAAAGTTGGATTTGGACTTCATTGGTTTTCAGATTAAAAGGCGATTACTCCCCAATGGATGCATCAAAACATAGAATTGCTTGGATTGTATGGGTTTTTGACGCAGGCTAGTGTCCTGAACTCCTGCTTTTTAATCATAGGCTTAAGTATTCTTTATCCACTAGTTTGCATTTTATAACAGTAGTGTGGTTATCAATTAAAACAAAAATAGAAATGTCATGAACACTACTTTAGAAAATTTGTATTTGTACGTCAATAAACATAATCTTTAGTTTTTGGGAGAATGTTTTTCTGACAGCTTTTGAGTGGTTTATTTGCAACGCAGTTACACAACTCTATGAAAGTGACTAAGCTTTCTTTTTCCACTGCAGTATGCTGCATCCAAGAATGAATGGTTTATCCATTGTTTTTCACCATCCAGCATTTTAACAACCTTCATTTAGTGCTTGTATATTGAGAGGTGCGTTGTGCATGGTTCTTAAGTGCCATGAGCCATGACTTCAGAATCACTCTACACACTGTGTCTACTTAATTCATGGTGCCAAGTAACTGAAGATGTCCACAACAAAAGGCAATTTCAATTCTTAGTCCAAGAAGAGAGCAGCATTCAGTGTCAGCGATGCAGTAGTTCTCTACTTCGTATCTTTTCTAACACTTTTTATGTTTTCTTAACAGTAGTAGTGAAGTAAGTGTCCAGGACGAGTTCTAAGCACCATGACAGTTTAGCTTGCCAGAAGCCATGTAAATTGGCTTGTCTGCATAGGGAAGAGTGACCAGCTGAGCTCTTTTTACAGTTGTTCAGCTTTTCTGGAAGGCATTCCAATGGTGCAGTGGGCTGAGAGGTCTGTCCTAATGCCATTTATCATCTTTTAGCAGTCTGGATGGCACAAGAATAATGAGACACTCAAAACCTTCTCCCAGGTTAAACATGTGCGTTAATAAGCTTCACTAGACAATTTTCATTTGGAGAATTAGATTTCTGGGTACAGTCTTCCTAACTGCCTAAAAGATCAGGTTTCTCTAAAACATATGCAAAATATTTTAATCGTTATTGGGAACCCATTTCTGTACTGCATTTTAAAAAAGGTCATCTCCTTCAGTAAAGAAGTAGTATTAGAAGTAATGCAATCATATGAATACTCCAGTATAATACTCTGATTATATTTTACTGAGTGTGGTTATCTTCATGTTTTACCTAAAGGAATCTTAATCATTTAGCAACAGATTCCAAAATATGTGCAAATGTAATGTTTTATTGTTTGAAATTTATTTAAAAATAATTGATGGGAAGGGAAAGAGGCAGGGTTGCTTGTAGACAAACAACCAAGAGATGGTAATTGTAGAAGTTGGGTTATGGATGCATGGAGTGCAATCTACAGTGCTTCCTACCTTTATACATTTCAGAGCTTTCTTTTATAATTCTAGCTAAGAAAGTAAACTCATTTAGCCTGTCACTGATTTATCATTTTTGCTTATACCAACTACTTTGAATTATAATTTGGTGCCAAATAACAGATAGTTTTTTTAAAAGTTGGATCAAATACTTGTAGACTCTGAATGCATTTCAATAAAAATAAAATCATCTCGTGTTGGGGAACATGTTTACACTTTATAATAATAAAAAAAGATAAAAGCAACGAGTTTAATTGTTTTAGTTTAAAGGTAGGGGAAATAAGCTGTGTAAATTCTCAAGAAAAAGCAGTTTAATTTAGTTTTGAATGCACTTAGAAGAGTGCCCAGAGTAGTGTAAAATTATAGTTACTTAATATTATTTTTCTTAACTCATCTTTTAATAGTTACCAATGAATGTTTTAGATTGCCTGGGGCTAGATTTTTTTAAAAAAATATATGTACAAAGTCTGGTGAAGATTGGCTTTTTCTTACTAACCTTGCCACAAAGAAAATAGTGTGTGGCTTGTGCTATATATTTACCACATAGCATTCATACTTGGGTTTACAAAAGAAAAAAAAAAAACTTTCCAAAAAGTTGCTTGTAAAATGTGTGTGTGTGTGTGTGTGTATGTGCGTACACGCACACATGTTTGACATCTGTATAGCCATATTCAAAGTCTAGAATTTACCAATAAGATAAGCTTTTTGCCCTTTTGAACTCCTCTTGGTCTCCCAAAATGCACATACCAGCCTCTCAGGCTGCTTTGTAACCCACAGAGCAGTCACTGCTGAAAATCTGGTGTCAGGGTATGCCGGCTTCCTGTTTGAAAACACAGGTAGCCAAGTAGCACAAATGTCAAGCATCTCGCCTCATGTAACCCTACTAATGACCATGTTTTTTTTAAAAAAAGGACTTCATTTCAGAAGTCCTTAACTGTGTTCTTTTCATGGGATTTCCCTTTTCCTCTGCTGACTTGTAACTTCCATGAAGGTGGAAACTGCCTGTTTTGCTAACTGTGTTTCATACAACAGCTAGCAGAGTGGCTGGTATGTTTAATGCACTGAAAAGGCCTTTCCAATGATTTGCAACACTACCTGTATGACCATTTCTAGTTTATAATATGTAAATTACCTAACTAGTGGTTAAGATAGTACAGTTTTGTTATCCACACAAATCCTAATTTCCTAGCTGACTGGTGAGCTGGCTGACATCTTTGTATGAGTCTGCTTTTCTGAGGACTGAACTCAGTGACCCTTCGTGTCAGTTGTCCGGACATTTTTGGTTTTGTGGTGTACTTATTGCCATAAATGACCTTTTTTTTCTAAAAACAGTGTTGGAAGCTGTTCTTCTTAAGGAAGATATACACATATTCTGATTAATGATAATTATTGTAAAATGGGTAGGAGAAATAAATATGCATGTGTGACTTATTTATTTCACTTAGGAGTATATCCTCAATATGCATCAATTTTCCTATGAATGTGAAAACTATAATGGTACATAAGATCCTAATGATATAATTAACAATGTGAAATAGGAAGAAAAGGGATAAAGGTGTAGGGGAAATGGAAAGGGTAGGGGAAAGTTAATAAGGGAAAAGGAAGAGATGAGAAAATGAAAAAATGGAAATAAAGTGTTTGTAAATAGGGAAGGGAGGAGGGGGTGAAGTGAGGGCAGGGATAAGAGGAAAAAATAAGAACCAAGACCTGTCATGTAAAGGTACAAGATTCCAATGATGAAGGTAACATACTGTATAGCTAAAATGTACCAATAAACTCAATGAGAAAAAAATATGGATTGTAGATGTTTTTACTTCAGAGTGGCATTTCTCTGTGATTATAAATCATTGTATTTTCAAGGCTGCACTAATAACATTTGCATTACTGAGTACACTGTAGAGTGGTGTGAAAGGAAATGCTTATGTTGGGCACTTGTCTAGACCAGGTGGTCAGCAAGTAATTGCATGGGGGACACTGGAGGTGTGGCAATCCCTCCTTTACATTATAAACATTTGGCATTCATTTCCTAGCTCATGCACCCTTCTTCACCCTAATGTGACATCGAGTATTGCCCGCAGATGTTCCCAAACACTTCATCCAGGTTGAGAAACATTGAGGAGAGGTGATAAAGGAAAAAGTTAAGCTTCTCATTTAAGGTTTTGTTTTGGACTAGGACATAAATTTTGTTTCCCCTTCTTTCATTGATTAAATATTCATCGATGAAGAAAAAGACCAAGCAGACCTTAACGATGAAGTTAATTTTGCCTGATTAATGTAGGCTTCATGCTTTGAATATTCAGAAGTAACTGGACAACTGGCATCTCTCATGTTGTGTATGTCTTTCTTAAGGACAAAAATCTTTCTTCCTGCACTGATTGCATGTGATTTCCTTATGTTCCTCCCTATATGAGAATGGTCAGGTTATCAGACAGTTCTGAGAAGTTCCATGTGAATCACACGTGTACATCTCTGTTGTTGAAAACCATGCCTTTTCTTGTGGATGATAGTTATCTTCTTATCAAAATGAATTGGAAGCCAACATTTTCATTGACTGGAAGGTTAGCTACTAATTGTAAAAATGAACTTTTTTGTTCTCAAATTACACTTTACTAAATAGAATAACTACTAATTACAGCTCTAATGTCTGTCCCCCACCCCCAGATGTATCCTAATAGAATATCAGAAGACAGCACTCACTGCATTTATAGAATTTTGAGACTCCATGAAAATGCAGATCTGCAAGACACAACTCTAGAGAATGAAGAGACAAAATTAATACCTGACTCATGCAGGAGAGTTAAACAGGCCTTTCAAGGAGCTGTGCAAAAGGTAAGTCCATACTAAAGGTGCCAAGTCAAGGGCCCTTGCTAACTCTACAGTGAGTTATTCAAGGTTAACACTTGCTAAGTGCTATTGACTCTGTTCTTTTTCTTTCCATACTTTGTAAAAGAGCCATACTTTGTAAAAGAATACCTAAAAATGTTGGTAGAATTCTTCTGAAGTTGATAGTGATTGGCTATGACATCCAGAGACATTTATGTAAATATTATTTTCTTTTTAAGAGACAGTATTTTAGAGGCAGCCTCAAGGTGGCTTGTGGTTAGTAGATGGATCAATATGATAGCTTGAATTCCTTAACAGAGGAACTATTCTCCAGGTTCACAGGCCTTTCTGACAGCTAATTCCTTTATATTTGGTTTTGTGTTCCCTTGTTCCACAGGCGTGATTCAAGGCTCTGATGGGAAGCTATTGTAATTGGTCCTTTGTTGTCTTGTGTGGTGAGGAGATAAGCATGCACAGCAGGAAATGATGTTCCAGAGATGGAAATTCTGTGTCAGTTTTCTCATTTTCTGAGAGAGTTGGGTGATAAGAAAGGAGATGGGGCCAAAGACCAAATGATTTCTCTTACATTAACAGCTTCACTTGAGAAACACCGTATAACTGTTTTCTTTTCCTGAATAAAGCCACCTGAAAATTTTTCATATTCAGAATTATTTTACTTACTGACTTTACCATAAACTGGGTAGGACCCATTGACTCCAGTGTAGAACATTTGCAATACATATCTGTATGTAAGTTTATGTCCATTTGTGAATCCATCTGTATATCCAACCTATGTTTTGTAGCTCCTTGGGTTGTATCTTATCATCTCAGAGTAAATTTTGAATTTCTCAAAGCCCTTAAATCTAAATTTTGTTCACTTTAAAAATCCACATGGAGTAATATATTTTAAAGGCTATAAATATGTACCAATAAAATTAAAAATTTAACTAAAAAAAGCATATTAATCAGAGGTAGAGGTAGGGAGATGAAGCTATTCTGTAAAACTATTAAAGGTAAATGTCTTACATCTATAAAGTTGATTTGTATTTTTGACTTATAATTATGCTGTGTATCATTATGCTGTATACTAAAATAAAAAAGTGGAAAGAAAAACAGGATCATAATAGAGCCTAGCTGAATGTTCATTTTGGGAATACTACGTTGGAAAAATAAGTGCATCATAGAATCAATAAAGTTTATATTCTAATATGTATAAGAAAGTGGTATTATTTACAAAAATCACCTTTTCAATAGAATTAGTATGTAGATACTTAGCTTTATGTGGTAAATGTATAAAATATGGTTTTAAATTCATTGATCCTTTTACATTATAATTTTTGAGCTATGACAGCAAGGATTCTGTTAATGCATTCATTTTCATTGTGCTGTTTATGTATTATTAGTCATTTTTTTATCCCAGTTGTAAACTTACCTCAGATACAGAATAATCTATCTATAAACAACTATTTACATATACCAATGATTGCTCTATTAGCCCAAAGCTGAAATCTTTTACTAAGATAATTCTGGGTAGGTAAATGACTATGTCCTGATTTGCTGTATGGATTGGCCCAATTTGCATCCCTCTAAAATGAAGGAATGAACTTTTAATCTTATTGATGCTCTGGCTCTTTAAAAGAATCTTTTAAATTTCTTATGGATGAAAGGTGTGTAAGATCAGCCAAAATAATTCTGAAAATAAATAATGATAACATTATTTACCACTGGATGGTTGATCTCTCAATAATGATAGCAGCCACAGATATAATTTTGCTTTATGGATTCACTCAATATCTCCATTAGAACTAAAACTAAGATACATACCAACCTTACGAATGCCTAAATACATCTTTCCTATTAATAATTAATTAATGATGATAACATTATTTACTTATGAGAATGCAAGAAAAGTTTGGTCTTAATAGATCAAGGAAGAAAAATGTTTTATCATCTCATAGAGCCTGAGAAGTGATTGAAAAAAATTTTCATCTATTGGAAAATACATAGATATATTCTGGATATTACCACAACTATCTCAAACTAAAAGTTAGCTAGTGATGAAAATTATAGTATTTATCTAAAAATCAGGGACATAATAAAGATGCCCATTGTTCCCAGATTATTTAATATTGTTCTGACAATGCTGGCTAATGTCATTGCACCAGACAGTGATACAAGAAAAATATTTAGAGAAAAGGAAATCTGTGTGATATGATTGTATATGTAGGAAAAGTAAAACAAAACAAAACAAAACAAAAACCTGAAAGTCTATAGGCAAAATAAATTAATCAATTTATAGAAATCAGTGATTTTCACCTGACATCCTCATTTCCAATATAATTACAAAACATGAATAAGTGAGTCCATTCATAATTTGTAAAAAAAAGTTCCAAAAAGAAAATAAACAAGAAATGTTGAAGGCTTATAGGAATAAAGCTAGAAAACTTTACAGAGATGCTTAATGTAGAATCTGATAATATAAAGACAAAACTACATAAAATTATAATAATCATTGCAATATAACTTGGGTGAAGGATAGCAGGTAGATTCACAAAAAAGAATGATCGACTTAGAGTAGACCGTATTCCGTTTGTCTTATAGGAATATGCGCATGTTTATGATTTAATATAAAATGAAGTAAGTAAGCATAGTTTAGATTATTTAAAAAATGAAATTTAGAAAACCTGTTTACTATCTTTAAAATGTTGTATCCTCCGATCGTGTTTTAAGAGAAAATAAGTCCTGGACAGCACAGCCTGCTAACACTCTCAGTGGCTCCAATGAAATTTTCTCCCTTTTCTTGCCCCATCAGAACTTACTTGTCCATTGTTCCATTTCCTTTGAGATTTCTGAATGGCTGCTTAGATGGTATAATCAACCAAGTTGTATTAAAGATGTTGATGAGCAATAATGGTAGAATTTGGACTATTTTAGTAGCAATTGGAGATACGGTGCCTCATGTCAACTGAATAACACTAATAATGAGAAATTTAGTACCTAGCAAATCAGACGGAAAAAGACTTTTGGACAGGCAAAAAATAATCAACTGCTCTTATAAAAGGCATGTTGTCTTAATTATACTAATAGATTGTTGTGGTTCACAGGATGACTAGAACTTTATTTCATTAGTTTCACATTTGTTTTTATTGTACCATTTGATTTTGCATGAGCAATAAAATATACAAGTGACCCCTTCTAGAGAATAAGCAATTGTTACACTACAGCCATGTGTATTAGTATAATGCACAAGTTATTATAATATAGTAATGTATACTAGAGGTAAAAGATAACCATTTTCTCCCTAGACCAGATCTTTAGGAAAGTGAGGGTTATCCATACCTTGTCGTTAGAATCAACCAGCATCCATTAACTGTACATACTGTTCTAGGCACTTTGCCATACCTTTTCCTATACCCAAAGATTTACTCTCCTCTACCCCTAGCCAAATTAATGATTGCCAAATGTGTTAGCCTTTCATGAGGATTACTGGTTACTGTGACATTCTGTACAACTTGCCAAAATAATTAGATTTCTTATTTCTCTTGCCAATGCTGACAATAAGATGGATGTATAAATAGGAAAGATGTATTTAGGCATTCATAAGGTTGGTATGTATCTTAGTTTTAGTTCTAACAGAGATATTGAGTGAATCCATAAAGCAAAATTATATCTGTGGCTGCTATCATTATTGAGAGATCAACCATCCAGTGGTAAATACCAGACATAAGCACAATATCACATTATATGTGTGCAGAAAGTGGTGTTTACCCAGCCTGTCTTTGGTCAGACAAATAATGCTGTTTTTCCCCCTTTTTTTGTTTGTGGCTAGGTTTTCTTGGCTTTTCTCCCTCTTTAGCACAGAACTCTGAAACTCTCTCAGTGATCCAACTCTACCAACCACAGTTTATAATGTCTATCATAACAGTCTATGACAATAAAGAAAATACTGGTACAAATATGGTGTCTGATTAGTAAAGTGATTCTTGTTTTTAATTTTGGCAACCTCCCTGGCCTCTGCCAGCCACATGGGGGCGGAGAGTGGTGAGCTCAGGCCTTAGTGAGGACTGTCCTTCATGGCAGGGAGGACACTGGGCCTCAGACCACCAGGCAGTCTCAGTGGAGAGCCAGCTATCTGTCTATACACTCATGGTGCATCCTGAGTGCTTATGGCTGTGGTTCTTCTCGACTTCAGTGTGCCAGGTCCCTGACTTCACACTGGATTCTTGTTTGTGAAAAATACTCTAGAAGTTACTTGCAAAGGTATTTGAAAGAATGACATTCAGGAGAGAGATCAATTTACAAATTATGTAAATTACCTTGCTCTTGGAAATGAGATGTCTGATGCATTCAAGATGATCCCTTAGGAGATAGAAAGGAACTATAAGGACTTATTTGTGTATTTATTTTTTAGTTTTATCTTTTAAAACTGGGATTTAAATTGTGACTATTTTGTAATATATAATATGCAAGACTATTTTTAATATTTAATAAATGTTTGAAATCACTAAATTTTTTTCCTTGATAGAGCTGAACAATTGTAAATGTTTAGAGATCACTGAACAAAGTTGCAAGATCCATCAAGAAAAAGACTGTGAATTTGTATGCATTTGAAAATATTGCACCCTAATTTATATTCAGAAATGAATAGAAAAAAGAACCAATGAATAATAATAGACAATCTATTGAACTTTGTAAACTAATATTTTTTTTAATGAAATGGGACTGCAACCAGCTTATAAAGCCTTTTAACAATATCATAAGCTGGATATAGTGTTGCAAACCTGTAATCCCAGCACTCCATAGGCTGAAGCAGGAGGATCACTGGGAGTTCAAGGCCAGCCTGGGCTACACAGTGAATTCAAGGCCAGCTTGAACTGCATAGTGAGACCCTGACTCAAAAAAGAAAAAAAAAAAAAAGAAGAATATTATAAAATATTATAAGTAAAGCTTTAGTATAGTCTTAGGTTGATTTTCATTAGAAAATTAAAAATTTAGAAAATTAGAAA